CTAGCCACTGGTGCCACACCAACACAGACAGGCGTTGGCTCGCTTAACGATAGGCTTACCAGGCAGATGGTGAACCGGCTGACTAGAAGTCTCTCTGGTTGGCTTTCTGGCTGTCTGGCTGGCCTGGTGGCTCATTGGTTGTCTGGCTGGAAGAACTCTGCCTGGTAACGACAGAGCCAGTGAAGGAAGAAGGAAAAAGTGTGTTTTTCAACACTGTGGGGTTCTTTTTCTTCTCCGTTTCCTCTTTTAAAATCTCGCTTTGATCTTTCACTTGGCATTTTGGTGTAAATTTACACACAAATGGATAATACTGTGGCATTCATTTTTAGCTGACAAAAAGCCATTAAGGACTAACACACTTACATTACAATGGTGGAAAAGGCAGAGTGATATGCTGGCTTTCTTCTGACATGAATGCAACATGAATCACTGTTTTCCTGCCAGAAGACTGGATTGGTAAGGTGCCACCGTGGAGCAATATGGTGGTGTATAAAGTGCAGTGATATATTAGGTGATATGGTCCAGCTGAGACACATAATGTACCTGCTGTTAGATTTGGCATTCATTTCTATATTTGTAAAGCAGCACTGCGGTGGAGGGAAGAGGAGTGCCACAGCTAAGCCTGGTGCAGCCTGTTGAGCTTTCATTACGTTACTAATGTTACAAAACATTTGTCATTTCACAATTAACACTTTAATACTTTCCTTATTATTCTATCTAAAATTAGAGCAAGCTGTATATTTTGTAAATATTACACACACCTATTTTATTGTCTTCTAACTGCTTGTCATGTGACTGTCTTGGTCCAATCATGATTTGATGAGTGATTAACCCTAACGCCTGTGGTAGAAGATAGGCTAGTTTAAATAGGTCAAGATGGATAATAACCCTAAGATTACAGACCCCCCACTTCCATATGATGAACATCTCGAAAGAACGACTGAAGTCCTTTGCCTGACCAATAGGGAAGTGGGCATGTTTTAATCCAAACCCCAGGCACGTTCACATCTGCAATTTGGGAACACTTTGGTTATCTCCTCCATAAAACAAAACAAACAACAACAAAAAAAAACAGTCCTGAACTGAACCGTGGACTTCATTACACTGTTACTATAGGCTCAGTGAATTATAACAAGCTCCATTGGGAAAAAAACACATTCATACCTTACTAATCTCCAACTGCTCCACCGCTGCTGTCAATCCAGCCGACACATCAACACCGAGCCCAGCCAGCCACCTGCAGACACGCCGCTCACCATCTGAAAGAAAGTGAGGAACACATTTCACAATGCTGTCAAAATTAAAAGCTCATCACATCAACATTGTTTGAGCTGATGTTACTTAAAATTATGCCATGTAGCTAGTGAACAAACAGTAGCTCAGCATGTGCTGCATCTGCTAACTCAAGAGAGTACTCAAAAACATGATTAAAGTATCCCAGGGGAAGTTTCCTCTGTTCTTGTGACTTCTGTCTACACATTTCTTAGAAACAAAGGCTTTGATGAGTGCTTATGATGATGAATAAAAAATGGGTCTAAACTGCTGAACAGGCCAGTTCCAGCTCTCGCATTCAGCCATCCCATTAGCTGGTGGTTGTGCGAATGATTAGAATAGAAATTATTCTAAACAACCATCCAATGCATGCTGTGATAAGTCACAGACCCGCAAAGAGGTGGACTGAATGAATAAATGGCTGAGTGACTGAATGAATGAGCGGTGACAGCAGGTTTCAAGGAGAGTGCACAATCTATTATTAAGACCAGTGTCCTGCAGTTCAACAAACTGTGGTTCTCACTTCACAATACTTGATAATAGTTCTTCCTGAAAATCATGAACATAATAAATTCATTTCACTCACACAGAGGCCATTTTGGACTTTAAATGGGAAATTTGTAGCAGCATGTAGCAGCAAGAAGCAGCGCAGCCCAGCATGCATGTCCTTAGTAAGAGCCTCATTTAGCCAGAAATCAGGTACCCTTTAGTAGCTAGGAGCTAAATAAGGTAGCTACATAACCAAGCTACCCTCGAAGCAGCTAGCTAGTACAGTAGGTAAAATAAGGTGGCCATAACTTCAAACATTTATGAAACTTTGGAGCCAATTAGTATGCATTTTTGTACAGACTACTTCAGATTCTATCACCTTAAATTATTAAAATATCACGGTGTGAAAATATATGAAATATATAATAAACGCAACCACTGATTAAAATTAACTTCACGATATGAGTGCAGTGTATCACGCTAACAAATTTGCTCATGCACTGTAGATAATGAAAGATGGCACAAATACACAAATTAGATGTTTTAAGTTATTTTGCCATTAAGTTTTCAGGGGGAAAGTGTTAATTCAGTTGTCCACTTCTGTGCTCATCAGCCTTTAAATTCAGCATGATAAAGTCTGGCTTGTGTGATGAAAATATTGCAAATTAAAGCTAAAAATAACAAAAACCCAAAGCTCCGACTGTTGCTAATTCACACCCACGTTCATTTCATTAAAGCCTTATGTTCTCCTCTCTCTGAAAAGTTCCACAAAACCGCAATTTGAGTTAATTAGACAATGACTTTTAAAATACTTTTAAAATTAAAGGCCAAGGACTGTAACTTGGTTGAAACGAGTAGAAACTCTGTACTGCTGCAATATTTCACCACCCACATGCTCAATTGAAAAGAAAAGCAAATGTGAAAGAGAGACAATGCTTACTGGAGGAGTCACTTGCTTGAACCCATGTATTTCAGGACAGAGGGAGTTTCATCAGGGTTTCTTTCTTACAGAGCAGGTAAAAGTACGATGGCCTGAGCCTTTCCTAGTCATCCATTAACGACAAGACACATAGGAGGCCGGCCTCTGAAAGAAGCTGCACCGACAGCCCAGAAATTTCAAAATAAAAGTTCTCAGAAGTTTGCTTTTGGAGGAAGGTTAATATCTACTTAGTCTACTTAGTAAAGAGGGATTATTAGAATAGTTTTCGTACGTTCTTAATAATTACTCAGATTTCAAATGCTTTCTGTTTCTGTACTTTGTGTGGGGTTTTTTGGTTGTTTTTGGGGTGGATAGAGTATAGAGGTTGTGCTTTTACCACTTTTACCCCCTTCCTGCAAAGGCAATGAGCTGGGATGTATTTGCTGAATAAAGTGCAGGCTCTTCCAATAAATCAGATAGTGTTGCCAAGTTATCTTTCCCATTTATAAAACAAATGAGAGCAGAGGCAAGGTCATAGTATCTATAGCACCACCAGGAATATTGTTAGTGCCTGTCAAAATGTAGACCACATTTGCAATAAGTCAAACATAATCTCTGCATCTTTGATCAAAGGTTTTCTGTTCATTTTTTATGAGGAGGATACACATGTTGGAAATGTTTTTTTCCCCCCACAGTTATTTCAGATTTTCCACAGTCTGCCATTTCAAGAAGAAAGCTCCGTTTGGCTCAGACAGTCTCTCTTTGTGCCATAAGGTAATCCATCTGGTCTCTGAACAAATCTGTCCTGGTGTCATACGATGTAAAATGCAATGTAGACTTTGGTAGAAGATGGGGAATCCTTGGTTACAATCACAGTAACTACAGCTACTATTAGCCCGCCACCTTTTACTGTCCAATTTATGGCTCTATTACATGAATTTCCATTGACTGAATCATTGAATGAGACAAAAAAAATGCAATATCAGTGAGGAAGAACAGATGTCAGTATGTATGCACCACCAAATTGGTCTAGTACCTGTGCCAGCCAGTGGGCCTGGTGCTGTCATAGCAGTGTCAGAGATGTCATTTTCACTCACCTTCATGCTTCAGGATGGCTGTCTGGGAAACTGTTTAGATAGAGGTGTCAGCGGTAGGGGAGTGTTCAATAGATAGTGATTTTCCTGCAACTTTCATTGTCTCTCACCTTAACATTTCTCGTTTGTCACCATGGCCGTGTCGTCCTCAGCGCAGATGAGTTTCAAACCAATGAATCCAACACAGAGATGGCAGGAAAAGCCACAGCAGGCGCTACAATGTGTGAAAGGGTGACAATGACCTTCGACAAACAACACTGTCAACACATTATGATCAGCAGGGTAGTTGAGAAAGAGTGTGACAGGAGGTGTAAATGAGAAGCCCTATTAAACCAGTGCTGTGTGAGCATGGCGTGATGCTACTGCGAAAGCTGCAAATTCACATCTCCTCTCAGTTGGGTTTGAATTGTGAATGGTGTATTCTGTATGTTTTATTCTATCTGAATGCAAAGTATTATGAACTGAGCTTGTGGATGTGTCTTTTGTACAATAAAACACAGCTGAGCATGTTGCTGACACAGTTGACAAAAGTATCACGACTGACAATAGCCTGAAGGATATACTGTATTGTAATATTTTCATCCACCTACTTGTCAATCTATTAAAAAGTGATTGAATGGTTTCACAACATTTAGTTCTTTATTCAAATGTCGAATGTGAAAACTTGCTTTAAGTTTAATATGATACTAACAGGAAGAAACAGCCTTTATGTCACTTACAGATTGTTTCCCTACTGTTCAACAACTATACATACCTATTATCTTTCACACTATTATGTTGTTGTTAATGTTGTTTTATCTAAGTGAAAAGCACATAATCTAGGTTCTTAATTTTGGAATAGGTAAAAGACTTTGAAGGAGCCAGACCTCTCTGAGATGTTCTAAATTTACCTTGGTAAGTAAAGTGTAAGTGTTTAGTGGTCTATTCCTTAATCAAAGAGATAATACCTCAGTAAACATTCAAAGGATATGACTTTGTTTCAAATGATTAAATGTTGATGAAAAAGATTTGAGACCATCAACCACATATCAGGCAAAGTCTAAAAGATTATGACAGTGATATTTGAAAACATGTTTTTAAGAAAATGTTCTGAACTAATTAAATAATGTTGTCATTTTAACCTTAGTTGCTAACTGGTGAAATATTGAAATGTTTTCATGGATTTAACACAGAGTCCCTTTAATTAGTTTAAACTTGAGAATAAAGTTTTGACAATCAAGACAATCAACTTTAAACAATAAAAATATCAATCTTTATTCTTTGAGATAGCATATCAAAGATAAAACCTTGATCTATAATACCATAACAAATTACACAAGAACTATACAACAGTAAACAAAGTGTAACCCAATAACTTTCTCTGGATAAAAGACAATAGTTATCTCTTCTCATTGCATGTATGGGAAATATTTTTATTGTGACTTAAAGAGACAAAACATACACTGATGACTATGTTTGTTAGGAAATTATGAGAATGTTACAAATTTAGATGTGGCCTCTATAAAACATCCCTTGAGCTCGCATGAATGTACACATTTTTCACAAGTATTAAAAATACTGTGACATATGACATCACTGTGGAATTTCGTGGGTGTTATTCAAGGTTGCTTGGAACAAATTCCTCCTCACGGTGAATAGTAAAATATCCTCCTCTGAAAAAACACTTAAAACTTGCAACGTAAACGTCACCGTTCTTGCAATGATCTGTTGGCAGGATGTAATCAACTGTAATTAGTAATATTGAATGAACAAATACAGACCACTTTACTAGCAGGCTAACTCCTTGGGCACCAGTTAGAGTGGAGCCTAACCAACAGGGCACGACATGCTGTATGAGTGCGGGCAACAGAAAACAAAACACCGTCGAAACCTAAAAGATCATCACTGTTTATGACCTGCAGCAAACCTCTGGAGACCAACAGCTGGAATGAAAGTTGAATTATGCTGATTACACTAAACCTACACATAAATACTTATTCATAAATCAACTCTATATACTGTATGTGCTTCTCTTTAGAACAGAAAAATTGACTTTTATTTGGTTTGCAGTAGAAAAAAAAAAAAAAAAAAATGGACAAAACAGCTGCATGGGATAACAGTTGCACAAATTCCTCCACGACCCCGTCTTATACAATATTAGAAGGACATGAACAACAGCAATAAAAACACAATAGTAAATGAGCAATGTAAAATGCAAGGTATGACTGCATTACACAACATTGGCATTATATAGAAAGAGACAGGCTGGTTTGGCAAAAAAAGGGGTTTTAAAAACATCATAACACAATGGAAAAATGACAAGAGGACTCATTTTTCCACAAGCTGCTCTACACTGCTATTGCTTTCTTTTTTACTTTGCAGTGCAGAGGTGTCAACAATATCTTTACTTCCTCCATAATACTATAAACCTAACCTAAATATCCCTACTTAACCCTAGTATCTATACAAAACTATACACCACAACACAAAGCAGACCAGGCCAGTGGCACTAACAGTTATTTCTAGTTTAGAGCTAATCTAGTATCATCCGATATGCTGGTCTTCTGATGGTCTTCACAGCATGAGTATGGGCATGTTCATGTAAACAGAATACATGTGTGAGTGTATGTTTTGTGCCTGACTGTGTCCTGAAATCATAATTTGGCACCACACAGGACTCTCTCTACATCTCGTGGGACAGGGCTTCATGCTGGGCAGCCACTCCGTTGGCCTGCAGGGCGTTGGGCTGCTCCTCATGCTGACCGTTGGTTTTTGGCTCAGCAGGATGATCAGATGGGTGAGAGATGAAATGGCCATTGGATTCATTCAACCGGCGGACGCGATATGTCTCGTAGTGGATGCTGCCTGTGATGTCCTTGATGTTCTGCATGTGTGTCCTGAAAGAAAGAAAGAAGACAACACCAGTGAGTGCTGTTCCCAAAGTGGGCGCTTTGAGGACAGGCCACACACTCTGCACCAATGGTTCAAATATCTACAAGAACTAAATAAAAAAAAAAAAACAGAAGCAACATGTGTGCATGTATGTTGTCACTAAAAAAACTAACAAAATGTAAGCAATTTTTCATTTTAAACAAAACAAAAGAAATACATTTAACCATTCAGTATACTTATTTTTTTATTCATAGCCATTTTATTTCTGTAATATTGATGTTATCATATATTTTACATCATAGTTATTTGACGTACAACAATATATTCAGACAACCATGGTTATTTTAGCTGAAAGGGGTTGCATGTGTAACAGGTTGTACAAAATCACTATTGAGAAAAAGAAAGTTTGGGAAATGTTGTTATAGCCTCTAGTCAGACACAAACGGAGACTCCTGTACTAATAGGCAACTTAAATGCAAAGATTCATTGGAAAACCTGAGTAGAATTGCCTGTTGTACCACTGTGTAGAGAGGCACTCAATCCATCCAGAAGAATTTAATTTGTATTGATTTCAGTGGGGAAGTGAAGCTTCAAAGAGTCTCAGTGCTGTTTCCAATTCATTTCAACAACTTAACAAGATAAAGAGAGTGATATCTGATCTACTAGGAGGCTCGGTCCTTAACAGGGTTTTTATACAAGTCCCTATATATGGTAAAATCTATAAAATAAGCTCTAGAGAGCGAAAGAAGTTCACCTGATGAGGAGGTCTCGCAGGTAAGCAAACTCACAGTGTGCAATGTTCTCAACTGTAAAGAGAGGAAGAGGAGAGAAAAGAGGAAATATTAGTTGTAATATTAAAATAATCTGAAGTGATAAGATACTAAAACTAAAGTAAATATGATGCCTCAAAAACCCCCTTTCAATCCAGCTCACCTCGCCATTCCCTAACCTACCACAAGATGGCGGTGTTGCTCACAAGTCAAATGAAGGGCATCCTCTAACATGACATCTCCAGCAATTTTGTTAAGCCAAGATAACACACTCCTCCACTTTCGAGTAATTTAATACATCTCGGCTCCCCTCTATATGGCGGGACTTTAACTGAGACGTTTTAACAAACTCCCCGTGACAAGCTGCTGGTGCCTCCAGTAGGGCTAACACATGTTTGAATTATAGATTATGTCAAGAGTGTAAATGAAAAAAAGGAGGGTGCTATTTATGTAAAGCTTTGAAATCCAGGGGCAGGAAATTAAATTCTCTTTGAAAGGAGGAGAGTGGAATAACTGCCGGGTCTGTGAGCGCTGATTAGCGGCGTCGAGGGAGCACGCGACTAACTTGTAACGAGCTGCACTGCTGGTATCTCTCTTTTCTACTCCTGGTGAAGCATGAAGTCCCTATATACAGTGCAATATATACATTTTAATGCAAGCCTACTCCACTCTTTTTCCATCTCAAATTATCCTCTCAACCCGTGAAAATAAACAGTTTCTTCTCCACTTGTGATATCATAGAGCCTTAACTTCTGGCTTCTCCTCTGAGGCCTAATTTATGATGTCGGTGCCGACAAGTCCAGCAGCTCAGCAGTTTCCTCTCTCCTCCTTTTCCTTGTTCCCTCTCTCCTGCTGCTTGGTTTGCTAGAATGGAGCCATTGTTCTTTTAGCTGGACAAGACGGCATTTGTCCCTAAGTCTGTGTACTTCACCTCTCTCACCCTGCAGCTCACTGGAGTTAATTTCATAATGCTTGCTGAGAGAGTAGTAGCTACTTTACTGCCTCAGAAATATTATCTTTTTAGGAAGAAAAACAGCCTTATTTTAATTTGAACTACAAGCATTTCTAATGTTTTTCCACTGGGTTTAAGAAAGGTTTTATAAGCCTGTACAACACGTCAGTTCAAATTAAATAGTGAAAATAACCCAAAAGTGACATAACATCGCTTTAACATATTTACAATTATGATAATTGTATAAATTCTTTTGACATGCTCTTTTGACAGACTGGTGTCCAGTCCATCCAGGATGTCTCTTTAATGATTCATAAGATTCTTAAGAGTTAATCAACCAGCAAGTTACAAACACAACAGACAAGCAGGTGTATTGTCAGAAGTAATATTAAATCTTTTTTGTTTTTTACAATGTATATATAGCACAGCCAATGGACTGCAGTTCAGTTCAGGATGCTGAAGTGCATCCCGGGAAGGATGGCCTCCTTCAGTTATATCCTTGGCCTCCAATCATACTTTCATGCCCCGTCCAGACAGATGTTCTCTTGTTCTCTCACACACACACACACACACACACACACGGGTGAGGTAAGGACACTCATTTGCTGAGTACCTCCTCGCTGGCAGCACAAACATGGCATAAGCCAACAAATGTAAACTATATCAAAAGGCACTGCATGCAAGTGTGTGTGCGTGTGTGTGTGTGTGTGTGTGTGTGTGTATGAACTACGTGTGTATTTTATGTTTCTGCCTGTTATCCCCCTAGACACAGCAAGTCGCTGTAAATCTCTTCCTCCTGTCTTATACATCTCCCTGGTTACAGGCTCAGAGAGACATGTGTAAACAAATGCCTGGAAGTCAAACAACAGACGGTTAAACCAGCTGGCCAGATTTTAAAGCTGCAGTTTGTTACTTTCCACATGTTCAAAATAAACCAAAAATAAGAATCTGTCATCTTCTTTGTCACACTGCTTCACCTCATTGTTACTGGTACGATGCCATCAACTGACCAGGCACCATTATATCATCTATTAGAGTTATAAAGTTGGACGGCCTTTCCACTGTCACTGGAACAGGTGAGACCCAGCCGTGAGGCCATTAAATGAGCCAGTTTTTGGAGTTTGACCAAACTCCACCATACAGATGGACGTGATAATATATTAGGTCAATATGTAATATATGTATATAATAATTAAGAATAAACTTAATGACTTTCAGCTTAAAGTCATAAATGTATATTAGTTAATTAGTTAATAGTTAATTAACCAGCCATTTGTGTGTGTGTGTGTGTGTGTGTGTGTGTGTGCGCGTGTGTGTGCATGTGTGTGTGTACGTACACATGTGTCTTAAAATGTGTATTACCTTCTATGGTGCCCCATTTTGTTTTCCTCCCCAGAATCCTCTTCCCGTTCACCTGGTACTCCTGGTCACTGCCCACCACAGCAAAAGGGATCATCTCCTGTTGAGTGCACATAGTCATTGAAGTGTTACCAGTGATGTGTTTTCAGGTCATGCTTGACTGTTTACCTTTTGCTAGAACAAGATGCTGCGATTGACTTTTTTATGGCAATCATATCTTTAAAGATTTCTCAAAGAAAACAATAAATGGGAAACAAAAAAGAAGAATTAAGATTAAACCTGACAATGGCTTAAATTTGAACATGCAAAATTCACATTTGTGATTGCTTTGTGAAGTGCGGAAGCCACAGAAGGATGCCTTCTACTGTGGCTGTTGTACAATGTCTGAACTGACTGAACCAGATAGTGGGAACTTACCCTGATTTTGTCATTGATCATCCTGTCTTCTGCATCCTCGTCAAACTCTTTCTGAGGGTAAACGTCGATCCCATTGGCTCGCAGCTCTTCTCTAATCTGCAACAAGCCAGACACAGTGACACAGAAACATTAAGTCAAATATAAAACATACAGTATATTATGAAAGCACAAAGTTATCCTATATATAATGTGCTATTTCACTTCTGTAAAGCAGTCTGTAAAATCTTTATAAATCGTCATTACACAGAGACAAAGATTTCCATGAGAGCTGAGGCAGAGACTCAAGACAGACTGACAAATACCATGAGGTCTAAATCATCATCCATCATCTCCCCATCCAAACCTGAGCCTGCAGCCAACACCCAAGTCAATCATTCACCATAACATCCTATTCACATACAGGTATTTAAGTTTGTGCCAGAGAGTTGAATAGAAGCTGCTCTGAACTACCACTAGAGGACTTAGATAAACACTTGGTTATGTTATACTGCCTGCTGTTGACAAAAATTGGTCCCTAATATCCTTGACACGGAGGAGTTAACATGGAGGTTAACCACTCTTAGGAAAAAAAAAAAAAAAAAATCCAAACAGAGGTACGGCTGATAAAACAGCCATCCCAATTCTCTGTATGTCTTTATAATGACTTAAACTCAGGCACAGATGCAGAAAAATAGACAGACAAGCTTCTGGAAGAAATGTCATTTTAATGAATGACTCTTTCACTCCCACAATTACTACTCTGACAATTTCCACTTGGTCCTTCATCAAACATTTCATTGTTTATCCTTGGAAGCTTTCTCAGGGTTACATTATAGGACGTAAACCAAGTAAAATTCTACAAAAAAGCCACATCAACTGTTGGTTAGAGGAATGTGACCAGACACTCACAGCTGGACACACTGAGGCCGAGCATTTAATAATAAAAAAACCCCTCTTATTCTGTTTGCATGTCAAGTTGCTGCAGGGAAATGGGGGGAAAAAAAAACATTTGGCAGAAGAGGCTTTTAGTCAATAATCTTCAGGGTCATATAGAGCATGTGCGGCCAACCAAAACAATTCAGCTACAAGCCCTGCGGCTTCCTTTCACTGCCAGGGCCTGGCCCAATCCCTGCTTTGTTCTTATTGGACGGTGTTACAGGCATCAGGGAGAAAATGGGAGCCAAGACACCCATTGTGCTTCTACCTTTCTAAAATGAGTAAAGCTGTTAGGGAAGCCCGTATTCTTGGAAGTAGGGATGAAGATATAAAGGAAATGATGGAAGAGGGCAGGTGGCCGTCCGCCTCCTGTGGACTGAGAATTATCCAACAGAAACACACAGAGGAGGGGATGCCGCAGAGACAGTTTAAGTCTCCAGCCGGAGGTGGAGCAAGAATCTGTGGTAGCGGGGAAAGCCATGATAACGAGTTGACAGCTGTGAGGGTACAGTGGAGGATTATCAGCCTGAGGAGTCTCAAAGTAGTTTGCCTTGAACTTTGCTACTGTAATAGACCAAGTAAGAGCCAAAGAAAGCACAGTAGTGCTTTGAGCTAAATGCTAGTATCAGCATGCTAATGTACTCACAATGACAAAGTAAAGGAGCGAATACATAGGTAACACATTTGCTAATTCGCACTCATCAAAAACTACAGCTGAGGCTGAAGGAAATGTCATTAGTTTTGCAAGTATTTGGTCATAAACCAAAATATTGGAACAAGTCAAATTTGGACTTGTAGGTGACACCAGAGGGGATCAATAAAGTTATCACAATTCATCCTGGATATCTGTACCAAATGGCAGGACGATCTATCCAATAGTTATTAGGCAGCTCACTAAAAAAACCAAGAATGTCAACCTGATGGTGGCACATCGTCTGGGAGTCATGAATGTCTCAACAAAATTTTGTGCCAATTCATTCAATATTTGTGGAGATATTTCAGTCCAGACTGATGCTTCGCACCAACCGAATGATCGTCAGATTAATATTCACTGTTTACTACAATGCTTTTATAACTCTTTTAAATCTGGTCATGTTTCAGAGAAGTTGTGTTTTTTCAAGTACCCCACAGCCTAGAGCTCTCTGAACTTGGCTGACTTGTACAGTCACCCAGCAATTCACTGGTAATGAAGGGCCTGCCTGCTCGGTTGGCAACTGAGCAGAGGTTCCCCTTCTACTAACGTGCCAGACTTAGGAGTTGTGGAACGCCTCTCGGTAAATAAATGCTTCAAATAAAGAGTTCTTAAATGCTTCCGTCTGGACTGAGCATGACTTTCAAAATGTTACAGTTGTCAGATGATATAGTACTTCCCAGGATGGGTACAGTGTGGGCTTGCCCAGATGGCTTTTGTTTGTGGTGCCTGGCACCTCTCACCGTCTGTTTAAAGTAGTCCCTCTCCTCCAGGGTGAGTGTGTCGGCCTTGGCGATGACGGGGACGATGTTGACCACCTTACTGAGACGCCTCATGAACTCCACATCCAGGGGCCTAAGACTGTAGGAGGAAAGAGACAACTTCAAGTTTTTGTATGAATGTGACCTCGTACCTTCGTGTTACGCTGCAGAAGGAGCCAGCCAGTAACAAAGAGTGGAAAACATTTCAGCTCAACACTGCAGATTCATGGGTTTTATGCTCAAAGAGCTACACAGGTGTAAACTTTTTCCCTTTTCATTACTGAGTTTTTCCTAGATCCAGCCTGGATTAAAAGATGTTTCGTTTATCTCTGGCACCAAAGAAATATTTTCAACTGCAGGACTACGAGACTTTAAAGCATGTGTATGACTAAGATATGAATGTAATGGAACTGAGCAACCACTAGAGGGCAATCATGGTCTACTCCGATACATTCAGTCCTCCCTGGTGTCTGATAGTGACCCTTGACATACTGCTTTAACGTGTGTAGCTGTATTTTTCCTACACTCTCCTAGGTGTGATTTCAGTAAACTGTAGAGGAGCATGCACATTCATTATGAGGGTTGAAGCATAAAACAGTCTGAAGCAGCTTTTTTGTTACTGCCTCACATATGTCCTTTATATTTTGCTTTTGCTTACCTTTTTTGATATATTTTATATTTTTGTTACCACAGTTTTCAAGTAAGGTTTTCACTTTTGCTCCCCCAATGATATGCACTGGCCATGTATAAGCCTACATTGTTGTGTTCCTGTTTACTATTTTTCTCCCTCGCCCTCCAGGTTTTTTTTTGGTTTTTTTTCCTGTTTCAACATGGCCTCTAGTTGCTCCTCTAGACAGACTCCCCTCATGCTGTCTGCTCTGCCCTCCAATTAGCCCCAGCCAAGCCGGGCCAACCTGGTTCAAAGACCCAGGGGCAGCTGGAAGAGAGGCCTGGCTGGCTCTCCTCAGTGACTGACAGGCATGTCACCATGAACACAGGACGAAACACAAGGGAGCATGTGTTGCGTGGAGCGAGAGAGAGGAAAGGCGAAACAGAGATGCACAAAGGTAGAGAGAGATGACACAGTAAGTGATGCATTCAACCAAAAATATAGAGCATTATATTTTATGCATTTTTCATGCTGAGAGGACAACTGGCATGTGTCATATGCATGCAGAGAAGGTGGAGAGCGAGAAATCAAAGAAAAGAAAAGAGCAGAGGTTGACGGTTGATCATCTCACTCTGTGAATGTTCAAATATAAATGATGTAAGCGCATACCTAAACTGTGTATGTGCAGATGCAAGAACGTACAAGGCATGTTGGCATGTGTGCTGTGTCATATGCATGACTGAGCATACATGCCCAATTTAACGCGTACATGTGTGTCCTTGCACACAAACATATGTTGTATGGACAATAAATATGCATGTATACACGCAAGCACAGATGTACATTTACAAGCTTGCATGCATGCAGAAACTGTGCTATTTTTGTGGGTGAAAAAACCACAAGTCAAATTTCTATAACTTGAGAACAATAACCTCTGTGGTCAAATAATAAGTGGAGTAAACAACCTACCACAGTGCAGAAAGTTCTGCCCTCTCTCCGTTTTAGTAATAAATCAGAAACCAGCTCAGAGTTGGTGAGAGTCAAAGTGCAGCCTTCTTTTTCTCAGGAAGACATGTTAAATGAGGTAGCAATAAGACTACCCAGAGGGAAAATAGTGTGGCTGACTCTGCCATTATCGGAAATGGCTGCTGATGCCAAGACTGTGTTCCGCTTCACTGAGCACTGTTCATCTATCTGAAACCACTGTAGCAACTTAAAAGCAAATTGCTGACATGCAAATGACATTAGAGCCTCGATAAGTACAAGCTGCTGTTTGCGATGCTTCAAAAAAAAAAAAAAACAATCAAAGAAAAAAAAAACAAAACAACATATCTCCAATGATAGAGGCCTTTGAGAGCTATCAGGGAAGTTCTGTCAGAATTTTCCTGCCTGTCATTCTTGGACTATGGTCACATGGCAGAGGCATCCTGAGGCTTTTGGCATCATGTCTGTGTAATTGGTAACAGGCCTTAATTTAAAATTTGAACTCTAATTAGTGTGTGAAATGAAAAAGGAAAAATAAGCAAAAAGAGAATAATAGAGTAAGATCTTAGAGTTTTTAGATTTGTTCCAGCATTTTTTTTTTCCTCATGAAACAGTATAAAATCTGTGGTAGGATAACAAAGATTATCCACCACAAGCTGAAGTGTTATTATGTTTTTTTCTTTAAGGCTAAAACTCGTTTGCTGTGCACAAAACATTTGATTGGAAGCATGTACCCGATGTCTGTATGTTGGCCATTGTCTCCCTGTCTAAACATATGCAAACATGCAAATCTGTCTATTTCACTATATTCCTCTCTACGCTTGGTTGAAACGGTAGCCCCAACAGATGTCTCCTTTGTTCTCATGCCTGCAACTCTCTGGTTGGTTGTAAGGAAGACACCACTTCCTGACAGATGTTTGCATCTTTGTTTTCGAACTTAGTCTGGATTTTCGTATATTCATGTTTCACTGGAGTGCGCATATCTGGTGTCTGTGTGTGTGTGGATAGTGATACTTCGGGGACAACGTTTGAGGATATAGCAGCTGAGAGAGGAAAACAGTGCAGATTCACAATGAAAGAAAAGAGGAGAATGGCTTGGGTGTTGTTGAACTGGCTGAACCGTGCAGCTGTAAGCAAGATGATACACAAACGACAAACACACTCAGGGCATCCACATAAGTGTAGTTATACAAGTGTCAGCATGCCCACTGCCCACTGGAGTCCACTACCTGCACTGTTTTACATGACCAGACTCACACACATACACATTCTCTGCAGCAGCAGCTGTGGCGACATGAGCAGATGATGAGGGGGTCTGTCAAACAGCGGGACACACAGTAACACACACATGTCATCCCCCACTCATAGACAGAAGGTTTAAGTGGACAACTGTTGAGTTACCAGTGCAGAGAAATATGAAGCAGAAGTGGATGGAGCCGTCACTGAGATATGCAGTCAGATGGTTAGAGAGTGCGTGTTCACAGTTGGTATTTGCACATGAGTATTTTGTGTGCTTTTATCCACTTGTGTACACTATAAAGACGCCTTGATCAACCACAAATACTTAGAGCTTTGCTGTTTGTCTGCATGTGAGGCAGTATGTCCTCCTTGACCCTCAGTACACATGAGGACACACTACTCATTGGCTTTGGCTTGTGAGGACACTTTGGACATGACGGTCTCCATTTAATTTGATCGGACACGCAAAATGACATCATCATTATGGGTATCATTACACTGACTTTGGTCTGTTAGCATCATTTACACCAGGGACAATCTTTTTGTAGGATCCAAATCTAGTCTTGTGCTGGTAGCAGAGGCTCATTAAAATGTGCTAGTGTCTGACCACCGTCATGATGGATTCTACCAGAAATGGTCCCTCTGTTTCACAATGGTGAATAATAAATAATAAAAAAAGAGGTACTGTTCGCAAGATAAGGCAATAATTAAAAGCAGACCTCTGATGCAGCAGTTTTTCCAAATTCAAATTCAGCAGAAAAATAGTTTTAGGCATAGTAATACAATAAACCAGGGTAAAATGGGACAAGGTATCTTGAGCTCATTTCATGCCATAGATTTTAATGGTGAATACACTGATCAATAAACCTCATCATAATCAACTCTACCACTACCATTTCTCCTATTCAAGATAAGCCACTCTCTACATCCTGATAGTTGTTTCACTCTCTCTACTTTCTCTCAACTGTGAGAACTGCAGAGTCCAATTTCCTTCTGAAATCTGACTCTTCAAGTGATACTTTAGTGTCTCTGAGGAGAGAATGAGTTCCACATGTGGTCACTGGAGAAAGAGATGAAAAAGCTGGAGAAGGACACAGTTAAGGATCTGTGGAAAGACAATAGGTCGGGGGGAAAGAGTCCCAGAAGGCCTGATTCATCTCTGAGGCTGTGGGAGAAACTGGTGGGATGAAGAAACAAAAAGTGGGGCAATGAGTCACAAGAATGTGTGTCTCTGTGATACGTTATCTTACCAGTGGCCCGTGGGAGGTATGAAGTATATGCAGCAGTGCACCCTGGAGTCTGGGATCCTCTTCTTCCTGTCGATATTGATTTCCTCCTGCAGGTAGGCTTCATACTGGTCATTGATGAACTTCATAATGGGCTGCCAGCTGACGAAAGGAAACACAGTTTAGGAATGAGAAGGTAACTTTTTATACACCAACAAATCTATTGCCTACAATTATTCAAACTATGGCAGTAGTAGTAGATATTATATCTTTTTGCCTCTGTATGATATATCATCAGTCATGTACACACAGCTTCCATCTATGTTACATAAAACATATCATTAAACACAAAATGAAATTTGAGACTATTATTTGTTAATTTACTGAATAAATTATTGATATTCATACATTAAATCTTTACATAAATCTTCACTATCATTAAATCAGGTAAAATGGTGCGATACCTAAAAAAAATCTGTAATATGAATTTCAGTGACCAAAAACTTTCAAATTTAAAGGCTGACAGAAAGACACAAAGTCTGTCTGATGACTAAATGAAAATAATAAAATGAAAATAAAACGCAATGTTTTTTTGGTAAGACGCTGAAGTTTGGCTTTGATAACCATATGGACTGAACAGGAACCATACAAAAGCAATGAGGGAAGGGGCTTTGGTAACAGCGATCAAGGCCATGAGATTAAGTAACCTTAGCTCACCAGTTTTCATTGTTGATCTGGTCTCCAAAGCCGGGAGTGTCGATTACTGTCAGCTTCATTCTCACTCCTTTCTCCTCAATATCTGGACAGAGAAAAAGTTATTTTGTTAGTATTTCCTTTGGACACCAAAGTGCAGGAGTATGCCAGAGCAGGAGGAAACACACATGTTGCATGTTAATAATATTGTAGGTATATAGACTGCAGGCTACTGAATGTGACCATTGGCTAACCGTGACTGATGGACTTGATCTCGATGGTCTTGGGGATCCTCTCCTCTGTGTTGGGCTGGACTGATTTACGGCTCACCTTGGATTTGAACAGGGTGTTCATCAAAGTGGACTTCCCCAGGCCGCTTTGTCCTGAAAACAGGAAAACACAGAGCTGAGAGTAAGAGAAACAGGGAACACAGCCACTGGTTGTTTTAACCCTAGACAGTCACAAGGGCAAAGTTGTTAAAGTCAGAAGCCTCATTCAATTCAAACACAAAAGTTTCTTTTAGGGTTTTAATGTGCACATGACATCATTCCTTATGTGTGGGTTGAGTGGTGAGTGTGTGTGTGTGCACATGTGTATGTTAATGATGGACTATGAGCATAACAGGACAGCTGCAGGGTCAGACGAGCAAGCTGTGGAGGTCGAGAGGACAGATGTATTGTATAGACCACACACACACACACACACACACATACACACACACACACACACACGCCACAGTGGACAAATATTCAGAAGCTATTTTTACCAATTTTAAGATACATCACTGCACTCAAACCACCAGGGGAAGAATTCCCTTAAGTCGGACCTACAGTTTACACCAAGTTGAAGCACCTCAGGATGATCCGTTATTTGTACCTGTTGACCTCCTTCTTTCTTTTGTTCCTAACAAAACACACAGTTAAGAAGACCAAATAAACTATTTTTGACTAAAAAGTAGTAAGGGTCACATTCTTTTAATATGATTATGGTTTCATTTTTCCTTACTGAAAATATAACTGTCCACTGTAGTGGACATTATGCATCAAAGTGCATATTATCATAATGGCACTAATGTTTTCATTCAGCCCTACATGTACATTACAATAAAATAATAATGTAATACTCATTTTTAATTTGCATAATTCATAACTGCCATAATTGTGGTTACATTACATTTGGTATTTATTTATATTTATTTGTTAACACAGTCTTACACTGTGCATGTTAGTTATTGTATCTCTGTTACGCATAACCTCTGTACATCAAAGATGACCCATTTTTACCGTGAGTGTGAAATCACCTAAATAGTAAACTTATCATATAAAACACATTTAAACTATTTTCCACTGATCAAGCAAGTAAGAGAACGTCTCCAAGAGCAGAGGAAATTTCAGAAATAAAAAAACTTTGATTTCACAATACAACCTTAAACAGTTGCAGCATTTTTTTGTTTGTTTTGATCTTGGAAAGACATTCAGTGTTTAATTGTACTAAATTCCATTAGAGGGATAGATAGATCCTCAGGGTCCTCTACAGTAGATACATGTGAACATGAGAATGTGGGTTTGCTTTTGTGCTGTTTTAACATATTAACACACTTTTAAGATATTTGTGAATGGATATTTCTCACATAAAAGCAACAGACACATATACAGTTTGTGGCACAGCATATTTCACTTCTCCCCTCCATATTTCTCTCCCGCCCTCCCTTCACAGCCCCTATGGGTATCTACTGTGGCGTGTGGAGCGTTGCCAAGCTGCCAGGCCCTCTGCGACACCCAGGGCGGGTTTCCACCACTGGCTCTCTCTCGGTGTCACACAATCACACACACTCTACATATGCAGTCTTCTCATGCACCCACACTTAAACATTTTTCTCTGTCTCTCTCTCTCTCTCGCTCTCTAAGACACCCTGGCTGTCCTCTCTGCATGGTGTGAATCAAAAGGTCAGCTGGCTGAGGGCAGGGATTAAGCAAATGCATCTCATAGAGGAGGCCACAAGGGACAGGGCCAAGACCACAGCTGCTCTAACCTTTCACGTCCTCACTAGCCATCCAAGTGACAACTCTGTTAGCCAACGGAAACTTTATTAGAATCACAAAAGGTGCCCCATTTTAGAAAAAAAAGTAAGTATCTGACTGTATAGCATTGCCACAAACACCTCGGCAATATTGTGCACACCTGATGCTGAATAAAAAAAAACCTCAAACTTATAATTAGCCAAATAGATTTTTCTCAGGATGTCACGGACCAAGTGCAAAAGGCAGGTCAACATTGGCTTCACAGTCAGAAATATGACTCCAGTGTGGTGTTTGCAAACACATGAGCCAGAACGACTTGAGATGATGCTAAAGTACTGTCTATCAAACTTGCCTGTAGCAAATAAAAATAACTTCATATTGGTTTAAACTCATCATGGCTCTTCTCCATTGTAAACTTGCATTGTATTCTACTCCTGTCTACACAGTGTGAGAGTGTTATTTCACAACACAGTGTTATATATCATCTAATGACACAAGTTTCATTTGTCCTTGAGGTGTCGGAGCTCTACAAGTGGATACATGTCAGCGTTATGCGGGAATGTGCTCTTCGCCTGCAACAGTGATGGAAACTGAGATGCAGACCAAGATTAAAGAGACTGTCGTTTCATTCGGGCGTTTTTATTCTCACGAATAAGTCATGCTGAACTGTCTTCACTTTCTCACTAAATCTGTGGCTTACATTACAGTCCATAAGCACCGAATCAATGTTTATCACGTCAGGGGACGTCTCCGTGGAGATGTGCCAACATGCCATCTCTCTGTGTGCACAAAACTTTACCCTGCAGGGACTGCAATCTACAGTAACTACCAGCAAGCCAATATGAACAAAAACAAAACAAACACCAAGGCTTAAAAAAATATAATTAGTATAATTTTTGCTGAGGACCTAAATCTCAGTGTTTGATGGAAACACATGTTGACATTCCTTTCTCTGAGGATAATATGTACAACGGTTTGTTTCTATTTCACATGTGCTCACCTGCATGCAAGTACAGAGATGCCTTCATGGATATGTGTGTGTGTGTCTGTGTGTACATGTAAGTGCATGACGGTGGCACCTAATTGGCAGTGTGTTTGTGAGTGCTCCCTCAGGAGTGTGTTCTCTGGCTCGTCAAAGTAATCGCCATCATTACGCCACTTTCTCAGCATGACAGCCTCCTTTTATCCATTCAAGTGCGTGTGTTTGTTTGTTACATCATGGACACAAAGAAAAGAGCTTGTTGAGGAACCATGCTGGCTGAGCCTTAATAGAACAGCTGAAGTAAAATCAAACATTTATTTGTCTGCTTTCTCTGGCTGCACAGGAGAAGTGGAGATGCAGTGGCCAAGAAAAGGAAAGAAAAGGTATTTTGCAGTTCAGAGAATCTGCACAGTAAGCATTTTGTGTATGTGTATGACATCCTGACAGTGAGAAGAGATGTTAACTGTGTGTGTGTGTGTGTGTGTGTGTGTGTGTGTGTGTGTGTGTGTGTGTGTGTGTACACATTTAACGCTGACTTCCATACTGTGTTACTTATTCTGGATTGCAGAGCACCTTCAGAATGAATTTAACTTGCTGCTTGCTTTGTTCTACATTTTGTGTTGTTGCAGCTTCAACTGAAAATGTTTCCAATGGTTACCATCTCATTTTTTTTTTTCTGAATTCAATACTGACTCAATAGCTGTTGTAAACATAAGACATTTGGAAGCAATTACAGCTTCAAGTCCTCCTGAATACATCTGCGTCAGTTTAGATTTTAGGATAGAGTTTTATCCAAATCTAACATGAATGTGTAATCAAGCTCAACGTCAAGCTCAAGGTCAGGCAGGATGAGAAGCTAGCAGTTCAAACTAATCTTTACATCATACCACAGATTTTCTATTGCATTCATACAGTAAGGTGACCGACCACCTGTTCTCTGAAGAATGATATGTTTATACATGGTATGACTTTGTATGCCATGTCCTCTGGGCTGGTGTTTTTTTTCCCACAAAATCTTCTCACGGCAATCTTATTACATTGAATGTGTTGATGTGCATGTCACACTCACCTACAACCATGATGTTAAACTCGAAACCCTGCTTCATGGCCTTCCTCCTCATCTGCTCCAGGATGGCATCGATGCCCACGTAGCTGAAGTCGCTGCCATGGGTCTTCTCCCCCTTACCTTGTGGACTGGGGTGGTTGGGCTTGACGGACTCAGACATGTTGCTGTGGCTCAGATTGACCTCTGACCCTGAGGGATACAAAGAAAAGAGACAAGGGGAAGAAATAAAAAGATGTTAATGTAGGTTATACATTTTCTATGTTATGATTTTAGGTTCAATATGCATGCATCAAGAATGATATTTGTTAAGTCAATCAAGTTGGTAATAAAAATGGCAGCAGTAGCTTCAAAAAGCAACTGCATGATTCAGTACACAAATGCAAATGAAATCATATTAACTGCAGAGAACACCATATTCAGTGTGAAGCTTACAGAAGATATCGATCTTAGAAATTCATTTCCTGTGTGAAACAGGATATACCAGACTTAAAACGCACATTTGAGAACGCTTGCCTTTACACAGGATGACACTGAAAGGTGATAATCTGTCATTTAGACTGTCTGCCAAAAACCCAACTTTTGCCAGCAGGGAGACAGATGTGCACACATGTGCATAAAATAACAAAATATACTTTCTCCTAACCGTTCGATAAACAATACTTATTTTCCCAGAAACCCTCACTCCAAAACATACACTCAACTATAAAACTAACCAATAAATCAAATGAGAACAGGCACACATCTGCTTCCTAATGTTGCATAAATTTTAACCAGCAGCCCACAAAAGAAATTTAAACTTTTCAGAAACAAATGATGTGGAAGTTGAAGCCAAGGTGGAAGAGTGCAGCTGTAGACTAGAGATGAATGTCATAATCACAAAAGAATTAGGAAAACAAAAAAAGGACAGACCTTGTTGGGCGAAGGAGCTGCCAACTACAAATCACTTCAACTTAAGGAGGATCAGTTGGTAGAAGACGAAGGCTGTGTGCCAACGCACCGCTGCAACAGGCAAACTAAAAAAAAACAGCTCAACTTTGCCAAATGTGCTAGTGTGTGCTTGCAGCAGCAGCAGACGACTCACACGCTTAATGTAGGAGGAGACAACATTTCCTGTGCTGTGACAGAAACGTGTGGTAGTGTCTGTGTGAAGTTTGCAGTCACAGACACTACAAACCACAGATGCATGCACCTGAAGGTGAATGGACACAGTTATCCTGACTGTATCCTCATCTTTCTCTGGATGAGAAACCTGCACACAGACGGGTACAGAGGCTCTGTTCTGGGTGCATTATTTTTAACAGAAATGTGAGAGTTGAAAACACCAGCATCACCACGAGCTTTTGGTAAAGAACATAGAAGCCTTTGTGCTTTTGATTTGTCTGCCTGGCATGATACAGCAGCGGCCGGTCTGTAACGTGTTTCTGCAACAGTGTGCTTGTTGGTGATATGAGTACAAATGAAACACACATGGCAGTGGAACATTTTCTCACATTAAGTCATCCTGCTCAGAGTTTTGCCTTCCTGGGACCATAGATGAGATGGAAAGTGTGAAATATAGCCAGGTAGAAGAGACAGTGTAAAAGGTTGTAAAACAGATGATCTGGCTACGAGTACCAATTTTCCAGTTTTTATTACAACTATGATGTACAGACTGTTCACAAGGAGAAAAAAAAAAAAACAACCTTCCCCTCTGGGTCTCTGTGACTATCCTGGGAAAAGTGTCACAAGACTCCATTAAGGAGCTGTACACACAGACACACATGCCAAAGAGAAACAGATTGACACACTGGCAGAGGATGAGAGCTGATGGTATAATTCAGAAGAATCAGTGTAACCACCTCTTAATTAAACAACGTAAAGCAATAAGCGTGCATATATTGCACTACATACAAACATCACAATCTCACCCTCTTACACTCTTGCACATCACAAAAAATCCCAAACTCATGGGAGTACTAATGAGTCAGTTTAGACATCTCTGAACTCAATACCGTTTTTCTCTGTTCCACAAAAGACACAAGAGCTACAAATCTGGACCGCATGTATGAGGAAAGGCTGTACCACACCTTTAGCAGTCTTGACAGTATCCGTCAGTCTCTCCCGACCTTCAGTTCCCACACAGTATGATGAACTGTGCTGTGGGAGCACATGTGGCTTGGCTAAAACTCAATAAATACATCGCTAAACTCTTGAGGAAAAAAAAAAAGAGGGAAAAATCCATCCCATCATCAGTCAGTAAATGCTCAGTATAATAGGTTTTGTCTTTGCACGATAATTTCCACATCCAAAAGGAGCAATTTCCCTTTATGCTAAGACATCAATTTTATCAGTATAACAGCAATCCTAACATTCGGGACAGTTCAATCCATGCTGTAATCTGAACCCTCTGTGAAAACCGCGTCACGGTGGGTTAGAGCTGCTTTAGTGCTGCAGCTATGTCCTCAAGAAAGCTGACACAAAAATGCTGCGTCTTATAAGTGAAACAATAATCCTGAGGTATTTGGATCGACTCATCTTTAGCCTGTGGGAATTGTTTGCAGTGTCACAAAGCAGCAGCTTGCTAACTGTGCACTGACTCCTACTGATTGCATCAGTAGTCTCTTGAATAATACAATGTAAATGAGCTCTAATGACCTACTCCAGGTCTGCAGCCAAACTGCCTCCTGGGCACCCTGACCACGCCAGCCACAGGCCATCTGCCGGCTTACAAGGCCCCTCTCTGAGAATAGACCAACAGTCTCACTGTGGCAGGCAAGCACATAACCGTAGTAACAAAAACAAGCAAATGTTAGACACATGCGCACATGCAATGGAAAAGGGAAGAACAAAAAGCAGTGCCAGGAGGGTCAAAATCTTGCCCAACCTGACAACCACCTTGCTGTGTTGATATTCACTTCTCCTTCTCGTGAAATCCATTTTTATCAGCACTACTTCCTTATCATACCCCTTAAAGATAAGCTGGTCACTAGCAAATGTCATTCATGGCGGTTTAAAACATTTTTTATTACACACAATTGTCCCTTATGTACCCGAGTGACAGCTCTACCATTTACATTAGCTACCTCTATAACTAAAGTGTCTCTTCATGACTCAGATCTGCGTTCATTACATTCCACAAAGAAAGGGTTAACAACCTTTACCACTGCAAACAACTACATTTCTGTATGAGTAATCTCATTACAAATGAACAGAGATGCACAGTATGACTCAGATCCCGACTCAGTGGCCTCAGCCGTTAAATCCAAACTGCTCTCAAAGACACAGACGGACCCAGCGGATGCATCAAAATAGAACATTGTATCAGACATGTGAGACTTCACTGGAATAAAATTCCTTCTTACAGCGGTGTTTAATTTAACTGAAGCCAAAAAAAGCCACAGCGAGCCAGTGAGGAGCACGGCTCATTCAAATGAAAAATATGGGAACCTGACCTGTGCACAGCACCAAACAGGTGCATCTGTGAACCTTCCTGACCCTTAAATGAGAAAACACATCAAAATATTTGGCCTGCCTCTTATCTCCCATCATCAATACACACTCTGCAAAAGAAAACAGCTTTATGAAACTGCAAACAGCTGTTATAAGTGAAGATAAATTCCAGTAAATACACCAGGCAGAGGATTTTTTTTTTTTTTTTTTTTTTTTTTTTTTTTTTTTTACCTCGTGACATGCAATAGCGGCACTTCAGGATTAGCTGATTTGAGGGCTTTGTTTAATGAATGGAGATGAGTTCAGGCTTTTTCTTTGCATGATTGGATAGATCCCATCAAAGAGATGACTCCGGTACTTTATCTTCAAATGAGGGCACTTATTGTTGAATGGGGGCTGTTGCAAGTTCTATCACTGGCATTTACATGTGAATCCTTACATTTCTGAAGATGAAATTGCTGCTTGTCCTTGGTCTGCAGGATAATATTCTCTGAAAGACAAGACAGCTGGTGAAAAATGCTGTTACTTCACAATGCTTGTATTTCACTCATGCCATGCTCAAAAATGAGTTTCTGTCGTGTGTTTTGTCAGTGTTATTGTAGGTGTTTGGTTTCCTGTTTGTCACCAAGGGCTTCACTGCAGATAAAAACCACAGCATTTACTTCCACACTAGAAATGCTTGTAGCTTAAAGGGGCACCCCACCAGTTTTACACATGAATGTGAGTTTACTCGTCACAAGGGTTACCACTCAGCTTGTGAAAACAGTTAGAAAAACATCAGAATGTTTTCTGTGGCTCTGAAGGCAGCTTTACTAAGTCTGAGAAAATAACCCTGATGATGTCACAGTGATGTCATCAGGTTATGTCAGCATGAGCTTGAAGTATATATCCTTTCTTTTCTACAAACCTGGAGTGAGGAGTTTGAAAGAATCATGAGAGAATTGTTGTGTTGCATTATGGGAATTGTAGGATCCAGTGTTTTTGGGATATGTCAACCTCTGCTGCTTCAATTTTTACCTTTTTTTTCATCTGTTGCAAATCCCCCAACTTTAAGGATGTGCCAGTGTTGCAGTTGAGTCACTAAACCTTGAGACTGGGTCAAGTCTTAAGTCCCCTTGCTTGTGTCCAAGTCCAAGTCATCAGTACTCAAGTCCGAGTGGAGTCATGAGTCCTGAAAATCAGGTCCCGAGTTGGACTCGAGTCCTGGAGTGCAGTATTAAATGACTGGAGTATACCTTAGATTAGCTATTATTCTTTTGCTTATTTTCCCACAGGCAGGCCATTTTTCATCCTTATGATCATGTATTGTACAGTACTGCTGCACAGTAAGGTCAAATAAGTGAATATGGATTAATACTGTTCATTCATCATTAGGTGTATTGTAAAATGGACAAGCTTCTGAAAAACTGCACAAATCCAGTGATGATAAATCTTTCACTTGAAACCATTACATTATCTTAGGCAGGAAAAAAGTGATTGACTGTACACCCTTTAAGTGAGAGAGTAACTTATCACATTTCTTGGAAATCATTATAGCAGAATACAACAGAATTTATTGTTGCGTAATCCCTGAACGCCAGCAAAGCTCAGTGGAGACCAAAAAATACAACACGGCTTTCAAGCAGCATTCTTGTCTGGCCTCAACCTTCACAAAAAAAAGTAATACATCATATTAATATTTCAAAAAGTATGCAACATGTAAACATTTAGCTGACAGATATCAATAACCATTATCCTAAAGCATCAAGGCCACTCTGTTT